GCTCTGGCTGGTTTGGCTCAGCGGTTAGAGTGTCAGCCCACGGACCAGAGAGTCCTGGGTTTGGTTCCCGCTCAGGGCACATACCTCAGTTGCAGTTTGTCCCCAGCCCCGGTTAGGTTTGTGTGGGTAGCAACCACTTGATGTGTCTCTCTCACATCGATGTTTTCTCTCTCTTTCTCCTTTTCTTCCTCTGTGCCCTTGACCGGAATCGAACTCACGACTCATTGGTCTGTGGGCCAACGCTGAGCCAAATCGGCCAGGGCCTTCTTCCTAATATTGGTTAAGCATTTGTTGAGTCTAGGAACAAAGCCTAGCTGTGCTTGAGAGGAAAGAATTACAATTTAGTAAAGTATATACTGTACTCTCTTTAGAAGAGAGGGTACATTTTTATTTTTTAACTATGTTTTTACTGGGTTTTTTGTTTTTGTTTTTTTTTTTGTACAGACAGTAGGAGGGAGAGAGAGGAAGAGAGAGAGAGGGAAACATCGATGTGAAAGGGACACATCGAGTGGCTGCCACCCGCACGACCAACCAGGGCCGGGACAAACTGCAACCGAGGTACATGCCCTTAGTGGGAACCGAACCCGGGTCTCTCCGGACCGCAGGCGGACGCTTTAACCGCTGAGCCAAACTGGCCAGGGCTACTGGGTTTTTTTAGAGAGGAAGGGAGAGATAGAAACATCAATGTGAGAGAGAAACATTGATCGGCTGCATCCTGCACGCCCCCTACCAGAGATCGAACCTGTAACCCCGGGCATGTGCCCTGACTGGGAGTTGAACCAGGACTTCTCAGTCCATGGAACAATGCTCAACCCACTGAGCCACACCAGCCAGGCAAGAGGGTACTTTTTTTGTGACAGAGAACATTTTTCCATTTATCTTTAGACAGATTAGGAAGGAGGGAGAGAGGGTGAGAGAGAGACAGAGAAAAATATCGATGCGAGAGAGACACATTGACTGGTTGCCTCCCGCATGACCCTGACCAGGACCGGGGAAGAACTGCAATTGAGGTACGTGCCCCTGGCTGGAATCGAACCCAGGTTTCATTGGTCCACGGGCCGATGCTCCAAAAGCTGAGCCAAACCGGCCAGGGCAAAAGGATACTTTTTTTTTTTCTTTGAGATTTGATATTTTTATTTATTTGTTACTCTTAGAAAAGCTCATTTTCGACTGGACTCAGACTTAGAGGTAGAAGCTCTCAGAGAGGACAGCCCATGTCTCTTGGCGATCTGTTCCTGGCGCTTTTCTTTGTCCTCCTTCATTCTTTTAGCCAAAAGTGTAGCATATTCTGTAGCCTCTTCCTTATTTTTCTTAGTGAGTTGTTTCTTCAGAGCAATACGCTGACGTTTGTGTTGCAGGACACGTGGAGTAACAAGGTGCTGACTCTTGGGTACTTTAGTCCTAGGTTTCTTACCTTCTTTGTTTAGGGGCTTTCTCACAGCATATTGGCAGACATCATCTTCTTTAGACAGATTGAAAAGTGTTCGGATTCTGCTAGCTCTTTTGGGACCCAGGTGACAAGGCACAATAGTGTTAGTGAGACCAGGGATATCTTTCTCCCCTTTTTTTACAACGATCAAATTGAGAACACTGAGATTAGCATCCACAATGCAACCCCGAACAGATATGTGCTTCCTCTCTCCTGTCCTCCTTGGTCAATAGCAGGAATGCCCCTTACTCAGGAGCAGGCGGACATGGCCATAGGTCAAGACACCCTGCTTCATGGGGAAACCTTGTTTGTCATTCCCATCACTGCCCTGGTCAGTTAGGCTCAGCGGTTAGAGTGTCGGCCTGCAGACCAGAGTCCAAAGTTCGGTTCCTGCTAAGGGTCGATTTGAACCACATAGCCCTTCCATTCTTCACCCAGGGCATCAGCAGCAACTTCTGTGGCCATATGCTTCTCATAAAAGGTTCGAAGTTTGCGTTCATCGTCCACTTCAATGAGTTTCTGGCATCCAGTAGCTGGGAAAGAGATGTTCAGCTTCAACCCGAAGCAGCTGACCGCCTCCAAGGCACCATGAAAAAGAGCAAGAGGATACTTTTTTTTTTATTAATTTGTTTTTGTTACAGGTGTTTCTCCTTTTTTCCCCCATTGACATACATTTTTAAAGAGAAAATTCCACGCACTAAATTTACCCACCCTGCTGTTCACTTGCCTTGTTTTTTGTTTGTTTGTTTTTTAATCCTCACCCGAGGACATTTTTCCATATTTTGTTCAGATAGAGTGGAGGGAGGGAGGGAGGGAGGGAGAGAGAGAGAGAGAGAGAGAGAGAAACATCGACGTGAAAGGGACACATTGAGTAGTTGCCACCCGCACGACCCAACCAGGGCCTGGGACAAACTGCAGCTGAGGTACGTGCCCTTAGTGGGAACCAAACCCGGGTCACTCTGGACCGCAGGCCAACGCTCTTACCGCTGAGCCAAACCAGCCAGGATTGCCTTGTTTTAATTGTGGGTTTCAGGGTCTAGCTGGCTAGACTTTTCAAAAGACATTTGAGTTTTATTCTCTGGGACCCCTGGACCCTTTGATGAGAAGTACCATGGCTAAAATTCCACACATGCACCTACAGGAGAACCACTGTGATTTTGCAAGTGAATGGTGACCCCTCACAGTGACCCCTCACAACTGAGTCAGCCTGGCCAGTTCATCTTGCTGTCGTAGACCTATGTCTCACCTGGAAAATGGGTTCTTCCCTTATGAAGAAGTACCCATGAATTAATAACTTGATCACCAGGAATGCTGCAAAGCACTATGTAAATACTGTGGATTGTTTTTAAGCTTCTATTCCTGGTGGGTGGCTAGGTTAGTATTGTTCTGAAGGTTAGGATCCAAACACCAGCTCATCTATTCTCCAGCTGTTGTTTATCCTCCAGTTTCCCAAAATAGTCAGGCACAAGGTCTTTTAAAAATGGGCTTTAGCCCTGGCTGGTGTGGCTCAATTGGTTGAGTGTCATCTCAAGTACCAAGAGGTCGTTGGTTCAATTCCCCATCAGCGCACATACCCAGGTTGCAGGTTGGGGTGCATACAGGAGACAATTAACTGATCAATGTTTTTCTCTAACATCACTGTTTCTCTTCCCTTCTCCCTTCCTCTCTTTCTAAAATCAACTAAAAAAACAAAACATGGTTTTTTTTTGTTTTTTGTTTTTATCCTCACCTGAGGACATTTTTCCATTTTTTTATTCAGACAGAGCAGGAGGGAGAGAGAGAGAGAGAGAAACAGCAACGTGAACGGGACACATCGAGTGGCTGCCACCCGCACGACCTAACCAGGGCTGGGGACAAACTGCAACCGAAGTACATGCCCTTAGCGGGAACCGAACCCGGGTCTCTTAGGACCGCAGGCCAATGCTCTAACTGCTGAGCCAAACCAGCCAGGGCCAAATTCCAGATCTTAAAGCCTGCCCTCCCTCTACCCAAGCCAGGCCTTTCTCACTGTTTCCATGGAACAATGCTCAACCCATCTGTGTTTCTGTTACCTTGTGTTGCACAAATCAGAAACCAGGGTGTCATCCTTGACACCTTCCTCTCCTCACCCTCCTCACCCTCCAGAGCTGGGTCATCACACCAGCCAGTTTTGCTTCCTAAATTTCTCTCAAATCAGTAAACTTTCCTTCATGCCCTCACTTACCTCCCTAAGTCCAGGTGGGCCTCCTTGATCTCTCTCCTGGATGACTTTAATAGCTTCCTGTCTTTTACGTTTCCACTCTTTTCCTCCTGCTACTCTGTTCTCCATGAAGAATGATCTTGTAAAATCACAAAACTGATCATGTTACTTCCATGCTTGACACCTTTGGACACCTTCCTAGTGCTCTTAGGATAAAAGTCAAACTGATAATCACACCCTATAAGGGCCCCGTGGGCCTCACCAGGCCTATTTTCACTGTCTGCAGTCCAGCTGCAGGAACCAGACTTGCCCAGCTTCCCCTGCAGCTTCTCTTACTGCTCCTCCACCTGAATACTGCTCTTTTCACTCTCTTTGACACACTTTTCAGGTCTCGGGCTCTACCTCTTCAAGCCATCACTGCCTCCCTAGACTAGATCAGTCCCCAGTTAAAGCTGACAAGTCTTCTCCTTTATTTATTGGGGTTGTAATTTCCATTTGTGGAAATTAAATTAAATTGGATTAACATTTTAATTCTTATTATTGATGTGAAAGTTTATAAACTACAAATGATCCTAGAATAAAAAGTAGTAATTTTTTAAAATTCATATTTACAAATGAAGTTAAACTATGGAGAATGATTCCATGTTTATGAGGCAGGAATGCCTGAGGGAATGTCTCTCTTAAGGATCCCTAGTAATGCTATGTAGACCATTTTTCAGTTCAGTTCAACAAGAGCACTCTGTGCCAAGACCAACACTGGAACACTGGGCGTAGGGGTTACAGAAATTAATAAGACCCGACAACCCTGCCCTCAAGCAACTTGCAGTATTTTATTTTTTAAAAACAAAAATCTCATAAATTTGTCTTTTATGGGGGTTTTTCCAGTTGGCTCCTGGCATTTTAGAAAACCTTATCCAAATTGGTGTTGGAAGTAGTGCATCCTTTTGGTCTAAAGAGAGGGAATTTTCTCGTGATTTCTTCTTTTTTTATCCTCATCTGAGGACATTTTTTTTTTCCCCCAGATAGAGCAGGAGGGAGAGAGGGAAGGAGAGAGAGAGAAACATCGAGTGGTTGCCACCCACACAACCCCAACCGGGGCAGAGGACAAACTGCAACCAAGGTACGTGCCCTTAGCAGGAATCGAACCCAGGACTCTCTGGTCCACGTGCCGATGCTCTAAACGCTGAGCAAGACTGGCCAGGGCATGATTTCTTCTAATGATTCTTTCTCTTTTGTTGAGATGTCTATAGAAATAACCCCTACTGAAAGGGAGGGAGAGCCTCTGAAAGAATTCAGGCCAAGTGAAGCTTATTTCGTATTCCCTGTTATTGAATAGAAACTTGCATGGGGTCTACTCACCAGGAGCTGTCTGTTTCTCTGCTTTGTCCCCAGGAAACCTGTAGGAAGTGTCAGGGACTCTGGAAAGAGCACAATGGCCTCACCTGTGAAGAGCTGGCTGAAAAAGATGACATCAAGTACCGAACATCTATGTGAGTAAAATAATTCAGAGGGATTTATTGACTAATTTGCCACACACACACACGAACCTGCCTTTTTGTTAGAGAGGGGCGGGCCGTGAGTATTGTGGGGAGAAAAAGTTCTCAAGCTACCCCTGTCTTGAGTGATCTCAAGGAAGTAACCTAACCCTGAGCCTCCATTCCCTCTTCTCTGCAGCCTCATAGAGTTATTCCCAGGGTCAAATGTAACATGATAAATGCCTGGCATGCATATATGAATTCAATATATGTTGGTTCTTCTTATTTTCTAAATAAATAAGCAAGTAACACATTTTAATTAGGTTAGGTGGTACTAATGTTGCTTTATCTGTATTTCCTGTAGGATACTGGTAGCCTGTGACATTGAGTAGAATCACAACCTCCAAAATGCAAATTAATGCAATCAGTAATAAGAGCCATTACTGTGTAGCACTCCCTATGTGGCTAAATGCTTTATAAATACTAATTTATTAAATACATTGACTTAGCCCTGGCCGATTTGGCTCAGCGGTTAGAGCGTCGGCCTGCGGCCCAGAGAGACCTGGGTTCGGTTCTCGCTAAGGGTACGTACTGTGGTTGCAGTTTGTTCCTGGTCCTGGTTGGGTCGTGTAGGAGGCAGCCACTCGATGTGTTCCTTTCACATCGATGTTTCTCTCTCTCTCTTCCTCCTTCTCTCCCTCCTGCTCTATCTCAAGATAAATGCAAAAAAAAAAAAAAAAAATTTGCATTAAATGCAAAAAAAAAATGTCCTCGGGTGAGGATAAAAAAATAAATAAATAAATACATTGACTTAACCCATACAAAAGTCTGTTTCTCTCTCGTATACTAGTCCAGCTTTGCCAGATAGTGGGGCATATCTATCCCATGAGGTCATTCAGAAACATAAGTTCCTTTGTCTTATTACTTTACCATTACCTAAGGGGGTATTCTCACCTGCCTGATTGGGACTAGACTGTAGCCACATTTACACTCCAGCCCTAGGTGAGAAGAAAGAGAGAGAGAGACAAGTTGCCAGGTAGACAGCTTTTCTTTGATTTGTAAGTGATACAGAAAAGATATAGATATAGATATATCACTTCTGCTCGTACCCTATTGATCTAGACTGCGTCACGTGGCCATGGCCTGCTCCAAGGCAAATACTGTATGTAGTCACTAGCTGGGTGATTTTATGTCCAGCTTAAATTTAAAGGAGTAAAGAGCAGGTTTTGTTACTAAAAATAATGAAGTGAGAAATGCCTATTTGGGATAGTTAACAGTCTCCAAATCTGTACCACAAGTAGGTACTATTACCCTCATTTTATAAATGACACAATAGACACACAGCGCCTGGTAACTTACCCATTGCTCACGCAGTTAGTAAGTGGCATAGCAGGAATTGGAAACCTAGGCTTCGTGGCTATGCTTTTACCTCAGACTTTGTAGGAAGAATAATGAGCCCCCCAACATGTCCATGACCTAATCTCCAGAACCTGTGAATGGTGAATATGCTACCTTACATGGCAAAAGGGGCTTTCCAGATGTGATGAAGGTTATGGACTTTGAGATGGGGAGGTTACTCTGGATTATCCAGGTAAACACAATCTAATTACATGACTCCTTAAAAGCAGAGAGAGCCTTTCTCTGGTCAGATGGAGATGCAATGATGGACAGTCAGCGACATGAGAAGGATTCAGCCTCTCATTGCTGGCTTTGAAGATAGAGGAAGAAGGCCATGAGCTAAGGAATGCGACAGCCTCTAGAAGCAGGGAACAACCTTCAGTTTCCAGCCACCAAGAAAACGGAGACCCTGACCTTACAGCTTCAAAGAACTGAATTCTGCTGACAGCCCAAATGAGCAGCAAACAGATTCTCTCCTAGAGCCTCCAGTAGGTAATGCAGCCTGCCAGCACCTTGATTTTGGACTGATGAGACCCATGCTGGATTTCTGACCTATAGAACTATAAAATTATGATTTTGTATTGTATTAAGCTAATAAATTTGTGATAATTTGTTAAAGCAGCAATAGAAAACTGACACAGATTTTTGTATACCAAAAGTGGAGCACTGCTGTAACAAATACCTAAAAATATGGACGTGTGTTTGGATTGCAGTGGGTAGAACCTGGAAGAATTTTGAGAAGCATTACAGCAAAAAAAAACCCAGATTGCCTTGAACAGACCATTAGTAGAAATGTGGACATTAGAAACTCCACAATTGGAGGCCCAGAAGTAAATGTGGAACATTCCGGGCAAAACCTAAATTGCCTTAGAGAATACTTAGATCACCATCAATAGACTTTATAGATATATGAACATTAAAGGCGCTACTGGTGAGGACTCAGAAGGAAATGGGAATGTGTTATTGAAAATTGGAGGAAAGGGAGTTCTTATTATATAATGGCAGAAAGCTTAGCTAATTGTGTCCTGCAAAGTATTGAAGAGTGGAAAATGTAAGTGGAAAGAGATAAATTGAGGAAAGAGCTATTAACAAAAAGGAACGGATGTGATTGTTTCTGAAATTCTCATCCTATCCAGATTATAAAAGACCCTAAAATTGATAGATTCACTGTCAGGGAAAGCTGCTCCAGAGAGAAAAACAAGGATATGTTCAGAATGTTGACAGTACTCAGTCAATACAAAGGCTATTTGAAGAGATTGAGGGAGTGAACCATAGATCCTCACAATCTAACCAGGCAGCCTCTAGGAAGCTCAGGCATTATCCCTCAGCCATCTCACCAGAAGTCAAAAATAGAGGTGGGGTTATCTAGGAAATATCTGTGAGTGAGCTTCATGCCTAATGGAATGAATTCCTGTGACATAAATGGAAGACCCACAAGGTTCTTGAGAATTTTATATCAGCAGAAACATTGCCAGCTTGGACTGGAAGAGACAGGGAGTATGAAATGAAAGAAGTCTGTCAGACCCCTAAGTTCTACAAGCAGGAAACAGGCTAATTAAAAACTGCTCAGCTGCAAGAATACTACCTTTCTTGAAAAAAAGGAGGATTACTCAGAAAGTGGAGCCATGAGCCATGAGGGCAGAGCCTCAAACCACAGAGAGTTATTCTCAAATCTGAAATATAGGAGTTTGCTCGCCTGGATTTCCAAATTGATTGGGAGTGGTGACTTCTCTTTTCCTTCCATTTTCTCCCTTTTTGAACCAGAATACCTATAACTGTTATCTTATACCTGTCCTATCATTGTATTTTAGGAGCAGATAATGTGTTTCTTTAGTTTTTCAGGACACAAATGGAGAGAAAGTGTATCCCAGTGGAACATATCTAGAGTCTTACCTGTACCGGGTTTAGATGATGAGAATTGGGGCTATTGAGCTGAGGGGATTTAGATAAGATTTGGGACTTGAAGTTGATGCTATATTGGATGAGATCTTTGGGGTCCTTAGAAGGGGGGTGACTATAATTTGCATGTGGGATGGATATGAGTCTTTGGAGGCTACAGGACAGACTTTGGTATGCAGAAGAAGGGCCTCCAAAGATGTTCATGCCGTAATCCCCACCACCTCTCAATATTTTTACCTTACATGGCAAAGGGACTTTGCAGATGAAATTAAGGTTATGGTAACAACAGAAAACTAAAAAACAATGTACGTAGAATCACAAATACCGCCCCAACTAGAGAAGTCTAGCATTGTTTCCTTAAATCTAGGCTTTCCCCTGTCTGTCAGCCAGCCTTTATAATTTGGAGTGGCTACCAACCTGACCAGCAGCATGTCTTTAAATTGATTAACATCAAAAATTATTCTTTCTTGAAAGTAGTCCTCTTGCCAGGCAATATACTGATATCAGGAATGCTATTGCCTAAAAACACTTTGAACTTCTCATTCAGACTTGTCTTTCAGCCAGTTTATGAGCCAACTCCCAAAAAATCTGTTCTCGTTTACTATGGACAGTCATTTCTGGTTTGAGTTGGGAGGAGGGGAGGATTTCTGTTGTTGCTGTTTGGGCCTTTGTTTTGCACCTAAGAAGGATGTCTTACTCATGTAGTGAGTGCAGATTTACTGAGTGCTCACTATGGGTTACTATAGTTAAGAACCCTGAGCAAATTTCTTAATTTTTCTGTGCCTCAGTTTCCTTATCTGTAAAGTACAGAGGATAATCCTATCAATCTGTAGGGTTATCGGGAAGAGTAAAGTGCCCAGAATAGTTTTTGCCACATGCTGAGTCTTCCATAAGCAGAAGGCCCTGATTTACAAATGTGACCCAAGGAATAAACATGAATTCTTGCATTCAGGGCCTTTCAGGCCTGGTCACATATATTCTACTTAGAGTTGGTGATGGAGTGCTGCCCAACTCTATACTGGTTCTTGATATACCTCAGGATCAGGCACCTGGACTTCTCTAGGGCTCAGTCATAGGCCAGGAGATGTTTCTTAGAAGAAGAGCTGGCTACTTTTTGAAGCAGAGCCCCCATTCTGGTTGTCCTGTCAGTTCCTGCTACTGGCTGTATTCAGTGTCTGTCTGAGGTAGGCCCTTGGAGCACCACTGGGTCCAGTAGTAACTAGAAGGTCACTCTTGGTCTGAGCCCTACTTAAACCTGGCAGCCTTTATATCAGCAGTAAATGGGCCAGATCAGCGCATCCAAATGTGAAATATGTTGATTCCAAAATCCAGAAAGGCCTCCCAAGTATCTGACTTCTTTCCTTGTGGGTAGGGAATACAAGATCCAGCAACGTGTGCCTAGCTTTGAAAGGAATAGTTTGCTGTGCACACTTGATCTCTAGATCACCAGAACTTGGAGACATTACAGATCTCTATTTTTTTAGGGACTTACCTCCCACTGTCTCACATGCATACACTGTATTAGTGTGTCCTAGAGTACCTGCTACTTCCTATTCACCAGGTTCTATCAGCATATCATTTGAATGGTAGGTCACTGTGTTGTCCTGTTGGACAACAGATGATCAGGGCCCTTCCCAACTGCTTCTGGTCTTCTCTGCTTATTGAACAGAGAATAAAAACATTTTCCAGGTTAATAGCTGCATCCCAGTTGCTAGAGGCTCTGTTTACTTGCTCTGCTGAGAAATGACATCTGGAACCGCAGCTACAGTTAGAGTCAGCATCTAATTAGGCTTCCAGTGATGCACTAGGTTTAGGACCTGTTCTCTGTACAGGCAAGAGAAGTAAAAGGAGATGCGATAGCAGTCAGCAGCCCTGCATCTTTGAAGTCTTGATGGCACCAATCTCAAAGATGCCCACAGAAACCTGGTAGTACTTTTTTGTAGGGTAGGGATGCTCTAGACTCTAGAGCTAAGGAATCCTGCCATTTGTCAGGTGGCAAAAGTAAGAAACAGAAGGGTACACACATTAAATTATAAGTACTTTATTATTGCTGAATCAGCATATTAAATGATATGAAATGAATCAGGTCTTCCAACAAAAAAAGTATACACACTCACAAAGGAAAGCCATTTAAGATTTGAATAGTATATGCCACAAGAATGAAGATAGCTCCGTAAGAGGAGTTCCCAGCATATTTAAATAGTAGTGAGAAAAATAATCATGGAATCGTAGGATCTCTGTTGGTTATGTAGAAGAGGGCAGTGAGCCTTCCTGTTTGAACATGAGGTCAGCAGACACAGCTGCAGCTCAGTCCTCTCTTCCTGTTCTGAACAGGAACACATCCTGTGGGGCTGTTTGTTTCCTGCCCAATTTAGAATCTAGTTGCCAAATCACCTTCCTCCCAAAAGAATCAACTGATTTCTCCCCAGTTCCAGTTTGCATTTTTACATTGCTGGATAGGTGGTCACCACATCCCATAATAGCAATCCTTTTTTGGTTAAAGACCATCCTGGCCTACCTAGTACTGTTCTTTTGCTAAAGCAAAGGACTTGAATGGATATTCATGCAGTGTTGAATAGCTATTTGAACATTGTGGCAATGTTGAGTTACATACAATCTTTACATCTTTTTATCCATTTAGGAGTGCGTTTTCTCCCTTACCACACCCACTATTACGTCACATTGGCAACTGACAGTGTGGTGGAACAGAGCAAGCAAATGCACCCTCTTTCATTTCTTCTTATTTATTTATTTATTTATTTATTTTAATTGTTGAAAGTATTACAGATGTCCCACTTTTATCCCCATTGAGCCCCTGCCACCCCCTTCCTGTCGTCTTCAACTTAATGTCAGTGTCAGTTGGTTGTACATGTATGCATATAAGTTTTTCAGTTTATCTCTACCCACCCCAAATGCATCCATCCTCGTTCCAAACCTTCAGAAACAACTCAGAAACAAATAACCTTGGTTCTTCAGTCACTTCTCTCCCACACTACAGCCTACTAGCTGCCCAGGGAATAAGTCAGCCAGCCCCAGACAACCAAAGTGCAATGGCTGAAAGCCACACCTCAGTTTCAAGGTTGCTCTTACACAGAAAGTCTGTGCTATTGAAAATTGCAATTGTGTTTTGTTTTTTTTTATCCTCATTCAAGGACATTTTTCCATTTTTTGTACAGACAGAGCGGGAGGGGGAGAGAGGAAGAGAGAGAGAGGGAAACATCGATGTGAAAGGGACACATCGAGTGGCTGCCACCCGCACGACCAACCAGGGCCGGGGACAAACTGCAACCGAGGTACGTGCCCTCAGCGGGAACCGAACCCGGGTCTCTCTAGACCGCAGGCGGACGCTCTAACCGCTGAGCCAAACCGGCCAGGGCTACAATTGTGTTTTGATCACAGCTTTTTAAATTGGAAGCTTTTTCATTAGAACCTTACGAGTCTTAACATGGAGCATTGACAGGTGTTTAAAGTTTTCTGAGTAACTGAAATTATGAACATGTGTATTATATTATTTAGTTGACAATAATAAATTCACTTTATTTAAACTTTGTTTTCTTGACAGTGTTTTCTATTCAGCAAAACTTAGAATTCATTTGTTCTTCAGTAACTTGAACTGGGTTTAAATTATTTTCAAGCCAGAGTTCTGCCTTCCTTCATTTTGGGTCATTCAAAAATTTAGACTTAAATGAATAGCAGCCAATTTCCTAATGCATTTTTCTATTTTTGAAGAATGGTCTGGCTTCTGAGGAGCATATTACCACAACAATCTTCTAAATATAAGTAATTAAAAACACTTGCGTGTCCTGGCCAGTTTGGCTCAGCAGTTAGAGTGTTGGCCTGCAGCCCAAAGAGCTGCGGATTCTGTTCCGGTCAAGGACACGTACCGCAGTTGTGGTTTGATCCTGGTCCTGGTTGGGGTCATGCGGGAGGCAACCAATTGATGTGTGTCTTTCTCTCTCCCTTCTTCCTTTCCTCCCACTCTTATCTGAAGATAAATGGAAAAATATCCTCAGGTGAAGATTAAAAAAAATAACGCTTGCCTGCCCCTGACTCATATGGCTACTCTTACTTAGCAGAAAAACTTGGAACAGTAGAAGGAAGAAGGCTGTGTTTTCTCAGCCTTAGGAGAGAATATGCAGGTCAGAACTCATCCCCAGACTATCACAGTCATTACTATGCTTGGAGCAGTGGGATGAGTCCCAACTTCAGGGCTGTCCACCATTTGGGGCCTTAATGCTCTTCCCTAGTCTCAGTAGGCATGCCTTTTTTTTTTTTATCCTCACCTGAGGACACTTTTCCATTTTTTGTTCAGATGGAGTGGGAGGGAGAGAGAGGAAGAGAGAGAGAGAGAAAGGGACACATCGAGTGGCTGCCACCCACACGACCAACCAGAGCCAGGGACAAACTGCAGCCGAGGTACGCGCCCTTAGAGGGAACTGAACCCGGGTCTCTCTGGACCGCTGGCTGATGCTCTAACTGCTGAGCCAAACTGGCCAGGGCAGTAGGCATGCCTTTTGACACCTTCCTGTCAAGACCATACTTCTTCATGCCAGCTGGGTGTTCCAGCACAGCCTCTGCTCTCTACCTTCAAGGAACTCAACTTAGTAGAGGAAAACAGACACATGAACAATTATAAGCCAAGGCAGCAACTGTTATAAACAGAACACCATGGAAGTAACTTAGTTCAGCAGTGCCAGCTTTTGACGAAGAGCCAAGATCTTTCATTTTGACCCTAGTCATCTGCCTTTTCATATCAGTTAAAGTGCTTCTGGAAACAAGTAGCCTCCCATTGAATCATACAGATGTCCGTTCCCTCCCTGCAAGGCAGCCTGGGAATGTGGGATTCCATTGGCTATTGGCTCATCCCCAACTGTGTCTATCCCACACCCATGCCGAGTATTTTGAAATACAAGGTGTGAATATAACAGATTTAAGCTCACTGGCTCTCCATTATCTAGTTTTGTATATGTAAAACACATTGTTTCAGAATATCTTAAGTTTTTTCTCTCCATTTTAAGCCTACAGAGATTCCTATAACAAATAGAATTCATTTTCTAAGTGCTGTGTGCCAGGGTACTTTGTATTTTACCTATAATCCTCCAAACACTATGAGAAAGTTGGGTTTTACTTATTTAAAAATGAGGAAGCGGAGTCTCCATTCAGTTGAGTAATTTACCCAAGCTAAACAACTGATAAACTGAACCCAGTTCTCGGACTCCAAAACATAGGCTCTTTTCACTCTTTGAATGTCACCAAAAAGGTTAGGCAATCATATGTGGAAAGAGATAAATACTTAATAGCCATATTTTTCTTTCTTCTTCATGTTCCCTGCTATCTCCAATCATGTGTTCTTTTTTCAGTGAAGAGAAAATGACTGCTGCTCGCATTAGAAAATGCCACAAGTGTGGGACCGGCCTCATCAAATCTGAAGGCTGCAACCGCATGTCTTGCCGCTGCGGGGCCCAAATGTGCTACCTCTGTCGAGTATCCATCAATGGGTATGACCATTTCTGCCAGCATCCTCGCTCTCCAGGAGCCCCCTGCCAGGAGTGTTCTAGATGTTCTCTTTGGACCGACCCCACCGTAAGTGAATGCATGGCTGCCTATTGCTTTGTAGGGGGAATATCAATAAGGTGCTATATTGAAGTGAGGTTTTATGCATAAGTAACACATTGTGACCGATGAAAAGATAAGGAAATATATAGATCAGTTACCACAGGAAAAAAATTAAGTAATCAAAAAGCTATTCCTCTGCCTGGTTGGTGTGGCTCAGTGGTTGAGCGTCAACCCCTGCACCAAGAGATTGCTGGTTCGATTCCTGGTCAGGGCACATGCCCAGGTTGTAGGACCGATCCCCAGTGTAGGTTATCAGGAGGTGGCCAGTCGATGTTCTCTTTCATCAGTGTCTCTGTCTCTCTCCCTCTCTCTTCCTCTCTCTCTAAAATCAATAAAGAAAAAAAATTTTTTAGGCTACTCAGAAAGCAGCATGCTCAAACAGTGTATGAGCAAATTTTTTCAATCCTTTAGGGAATAAAAAAAAAATTAATATATTTTTATTGATTTTTGAGAGAGAGAGGAAGGGAGATGGGGAGAGAAATAGAAACATCAGTGGGAGAGAAACATCGATCAGTTGCCTCTGGCACTCCCCACACTGGGGATTGAGCTCACAACCAGGCATGAGCCCTGACCAGGAATCAAACCAGCAGCGTCTCGGTGCATGGGATGATGCTCAATTCACTGAGCCACACCAGCCAGGCAGGAATGAAAATTTTTATGCCATCTGAAATATTCCAGAGCATAGAAAAGAAAGGAAAGTTTTACATATTATCTGCATAAAACTTGTATATTGCTGATACCAAAATGCGACATAGATAACCCCAAAAAAGAAAACTACAGATCCCTTCTACTTATGACTATAGGTTTTAAATTCTCTAAATAAAACACCAGGAGATAGAGCCCTGGCCAGCTTGGCTCAGCGGTTACAGCATCGGCCCATGGACCAGAGAGTTCCAGGTTTGTTTCCCGCTAAGGGCACGTACCTCAGTTGCGGTTTGTCCCTAGCCTGGTTGGGGTCGTGTGGGTGGTGACCACTGGATGTATCTCTCTCACGTTGATGTTTCTTTCTCTGTCTCCCTCCCTCTCTCCCCTCCACTCTGTCTGAAAATAAATGCAAAAAAAAATGTCCTCGGGTGAGGATTAAAAAAAAATACCAGCAGATAGAAACCATGACCAAGTGAGATTGTTCCAGAAATGCAAGGATGGTTCAATATTAAGACCTCTTAATATAAGTCACCATGTAATAGCTTTAGATGGGGGGAAAAAATAGCTTTAGATGGTAAAAAAATTAAATTAAATCTGACATCCATTTTTTATTTGAGCTTTAAAAAATAATATTAGAAGGATGCTTTAACTTAATAGTGTGTTTTCAAAGTCCATATTTCAAAATAGTCACGTTAGGATGTATTTAATAGTGAAATACACAGTAGTATTCCCAAAAAGTCAAATGTAAGACTATCACCACTATTTGTTTCTGGAACTGCTAGTTAATACAATTAGCTAAGATAATAAAATAAAAGGTACAGGTATTAGAGAAGATAATTGCTAATGTTTATTGGGCACCCACATGTGTCAGGTGCTATTGTAAGCACTTTGATGTGTATAGAAGAAAAGTAAATCAACCATATTAGACCTGAGAAAAGACAAAATAATCAACTAGAAGACTATTAGAAGAAGTAGATGGCTAGATAAAAAATACATGTGCAGCCCTGGCCGATTTGGCTCAGTGGTAGAGCATCAACCTGCGGACCAATGAGTCGTGGGTTTGATTCCAGTCAAGGGCATGTACCTCCGTTGCAGTTCGTCCCCAGCCCTGGACAGGGTTCTGCAGGAGGCAACCGTCAATGTGTTCCTCTCATGTTGGTGTTTGTATCTCTCTTCCTTTCTCTCTCTCTCTCTCCTACTCTATCTGAAGATAAATAGGAAAAAATATATATCTATATCTATATCTATATCTATCTCTCTCCCCTCAGGTGAGGATTTTTTTTTTTTTTTTTTTTTTTTTTCCTCACCCGAGGACATTTTTCCTTTTTTGTTCTGGTAGAGTGGGAGGGAGAGACAGGAACAGAGAGAGAGAGAGAGAGAAACATCGATGTGAAAGGGACACATCGAGTGGCTGCCACCCGCACGACCAACCAGGGCCGGGGACAAACTGCAACCGAGGTACGCGCCCTTAGCGGGAACCGAACCCGGGCCTCTCGGGACCGCAGGTCGACGCTCTAACCGCTGAGCCAAACTGGCCAGGGCTCAGGTGAAGATTTAAAAATACATGTACAGAATGCCACTCAGTAGCAATGTAAATCATACAGTACTCTAGAAAATAACATTTCTTTAATAAGAAATGTTCACATTTCTTATTAATTCTTCACATTAAAGAAATGTGAAGACAACTATATCAAAGGATATGAAAAAACTTGAACATAAGGACAAATGTGCTTTGTTCTTAAATAGTTTTATATTAAAATGTATCAGTTCTTAAAATTGTTTTAAATTTGAAACTGTCACAGTACATTATAAGTTGATTTATAAGGGTATTAATGTGACATGTGAGGAGACTTGTTCTACCAAAAAGTGATCCAGGCTAACATTGAGTAAGAGCAAATGAAAGTCCTTGAGGAAGTACACCAAAGCCCACTGGGGGCCTAGTGACGGCCAGTTACTCCTCAGCTTCCATTTGAGACAGGTGAAGATGATCTGGATCGTGGAGAAGCATCTAGTCCCTAAAGGGGAGACTTAGTATTATAGAGAGATTAGTTCCCTCCAAAGAAATCTAGACGTTTACTGCAATTCCCATTTAAATTCAGTGGTATTTTTTTCTTAAAAAATTACCTATAGTTTTAAAAATGAGACTAATATTTACTATGAAGCTACACTAATTAAAACCATATATTCTGATACAAGAATAGGCAGATAGATCAAAGGAACAGAATAGAGACCAGAAACAGAACTTAATGTGTGGGAAAAAAATACCATTTCTTTTCTTGTTTTTGAAAATACTATTTTTTATTTATTTATTTATTTATTTATTTATTTTTAATTATAAGTTCTGTGATTTATCTCTTCCCCCTCCCACCCCCTCTTCTGGGGATTGTCAGTCTGTACCCTACTTCCACGTCTCTGGGACTACCCCGTTCCTCAGACTGTTATGTTCATTATATTCCACAAATAAGTGAGATCATGTGATGTTTGTCTTTCTCTGCTTGGCTTGTTTCATTTAGGATAATTCTCTCCAGGTCCCTCCACGTCGTCTCAAAGGATAAGAGATCTTTCTTTCTTACAGCTGCATAGGACTCCATTGTGTATATGTACCACAGCTTTTTTATCCATTTGTCTACTGATGGACATTTGGGCTGTTTCCAGATCTTAGCTATTGTAAATAGTGCTGCTATAAAAATACCATTTCAATAATAGATTCATTCTTTCACTCTTAACTATTTAGTGTTACCAGGACTAGTCTGACAAAAAAGTCCCATCCTCATGAAGTCTAAAATAAGAATCCTTCATTAGTTGGTGCTGTGTAGGAATAATGAAAGTGATGTGATAGTGAATGACAGGAACTGGAGGAGGAGGCCAATCTTAAAGTGATCTGGGAGGCAGCATTTGTATAAGACCTGTGTAAGGAGGAGGAGCAGCAGCAAGGCTAGCTAAGGAAATAAAACAAATTCAGTCCAGACCTGTTTGGCTCAGGTGGTGAGATAGGGAAGGGAAGTGGGAAGTAGGAGAAGCAGGCACAGAACCAGGCTGTGGGTGGATCTCATCGAGTGCAGTGGGTGCTGTTGCCAGGCTTATGTAGGAGAGTGACTTGGTCTGATTTAAGTTTTCAAGGTCACACTGGCTACCATGTCGACTGAGAAATGAGAGAAAATTGTTGTAACATATATATGATATAATAAATTAATATGTTAATATGTAAAGAGTGATGTGACTCAATAAGAAATCAGTAAAAATTGCCCTGGCCAGTTTTACTCAGCGGTTAGAGCGTTACACCTAGTCCAGTGAGTCGCAGGTTCGATTCCAGTCAAGGGCACATACCTCGGTTGCAATTCGTCCCTGGCCCTGGTTTGGGTCGTGCAGGAGGCAACCAGCCGATGTGTCCCTTTCACGTCGATGTTTCTCTCTCTCTCTCTCTTTCTCTCTCTTCCTCTCTCTTCCTTTCACTCTATCTGAACCAAAATGGAGAATATCCTCGAGTAAGGATTTAAAAAAAAAAAAAAGAGGAAAAGAAATCAGTAAAAATCCCTATATTAATAAGGATCATTTTGTCTGTGAATATCAGAAAGCCCAAAAATAACAGTGGCTTCTACAAGGTAGAGGTTTACTTCTCCCTTATCTATAAGTAACGGTGGACAACCCAGGGGTTGGATGATCACATTAATATAGTACACAGTTATAAAAAAACAATGCTCTATATCTATGTTCCAAAACTTGGAGGAAAAACATGGAAATATTTACACATAAAACACAACATGCAGCTGGGGTCACAGACCCAAGTTACCACAGGGGCAAGTGGTAACATAAATGATTGATAAACATGAAGTAGGCCAGATCTGAGAGACAGTAGGGTGTGGTAGGGCCTGCGGCAAACGGGAGGTGTAGGCCCATCTAAGGTGCTACTACTCAACTCCCATAGCTTGTTGCCAGATGAAATTGTACTCAGTTACCATGGGTTTAGATTTTTCAGAGAGGCTGGAAATCTGTATTTTAATGTGAAATCTCCCAGTTTTTAAAGATTGATTAATCCAGGTTATCTTTAAAACACAGTTCAAGCCCTGGACAATTTTGCTCAGCGGTTAGAGCATCGACCTGCAGACCAGAGAATCCCTGGTTTGGTTCCCGCTAAGGGCATGTACCTCAGTTGCAGTTTGTCCCCAGCCCTGGTTGGAGTCGTGTGGGTGGCAACCAGTCAATATGTCTCTCTCACATCGATGTTTCTCTCTCTCTCTTCCCCTCTCTCTCCCTCCTGCCCTATCTGAAGATAAATACAAAAAAAAGTCCTCGGATGAGGATAAAAAAAATCAATAAAACAC